GTGGAGTATGCCCAGAACTCCCTGCGTCCAACCACCACTGAGCTTACTCCATTCCAATGTATCCTCGGCTACCAACCTCCTTCTTACCCTGGTCCGGAGAACCATCGGAGGTTCAAGCTGTCAACCACTGGTTCGAGGAGAGCGAGCGAGAGGGTATGGGACTCAGCCCATGTGCATCTCCAGCGGGCAGTGCGAAGACACCAACGCCAGGCGGATGTCCGAAGAGCTGAAGCCACCCAATACCAGCCAGCACAGAAGGTTTCGTTCTCCACCCGCGACATTCGTCTTCGCCTGCCCTGCCGTAAGCTGAGTCCCCCCTATATAGGTCCCTTCACTGTGCAGAGGCAGGTCTACGAGGTCGCCTACAGGCCCAACCTTCCACCTCACTACCGTATTTCGCCTGCATTCCATGTCTCCCTCCTGAAACCCTTCACTGAACCTCTGTCCTCTTCTCCCACAGAACCCACCACGGACGAAGTACCTCCTCCTTCAGATGTCGCTGATGAGGACCTAGTGTACCGAGTCTATACTACCTTCGACTCACGGCGACGGGGCGCCCGCCTAGAGTACCTGATCGACTGGGAGGGGTACGGTCCAGAGGAACGTTCATGGGTCTCTCAAGATGATGTCCTGGATCCGCTACTCACCCAGTTTCACGAGGATCAACCAGACCGTCCAGCCCACAGAGGTCGAAGCTGGCCCTGTCACCGAGTCATTCAGCCTTCAGGAGCCGGCCGTGGAGGAGGGGGTACTACAGTTCACCATCCACTCATTGTCTGGTCTCATCGCAGTTACCACTGCTTACCGTCAGACTCCTTACCCGTCTACTTACCTGTGATTCATCTCGTCAAGCTTCCAGTCTTCTGACCGTCTGTCATCTGTCCTCCTGATCCAGATCTCCTGTCTTCTTGTTCACTTGTCACCTGCACAGAGAATCCACTTCTGTCTTCATCAGCTAAGTCACCATCATCAGTCAACAAGTCACCATCATCTGGTTCCCACTGTTTCTCACCACTCTGCTCAATAAACACTGTTATCACTAATACACCTGTCTGTTTCCTTCTGTGTTGTGACAGAGGGCCTGAACGAAGGTTGAAAAAAAAATTTTTCTGCATTTGTATTGTATGTTTTGTGTGCAAAAAAGTTTATTGACAAATAAGTGAACTTCAAGGAACGTATTAAAATAATAATAAAACAATACATGTCGTGACCCCTTTAAATTTGGAGATGGAAAAAAACAAGAATTGTTATACTGCCTAATGTGATTATTAAACTTCAAAAGACTGTATCTATCTATCTATCTATCTATCTATCTATCTATCTATCTATCTATCTATCTATCTATCTATCTATCTATCTATCTATCTATCTATCTATCAATCTATCTATCTATCTATCGTGCTTAGCATAAGTGAACACACCCATGCTACCTAGAGATTGGCATGGGGTACTTTCCGTAAGATCATCTCTCAATGCAAATCAATACAGCTATTAGGCTAACTGAAATAAAACCATGCCAATCTCTAGGTATGGCGAATCTTAATTCCAAAGGCCAAGGGAACTTTATCAGCATAGTATCCTGAATCCATGAAATAACTGGCCTTTAAAAATAAAAATCTGCCTGCCTCTATTGGAATTTAACATAGGGGTGTCCTGACTTATGCACCCTGTATTTTAAGGAAGAACATTTATTTATTTACGATACATTATTCAATCACAAAGAAAATTGGTGTCCTTAAAGGTTGGAGTTTTCCTCATTTTTTTAATTAAGCCATTAAGATCAATTTCTAAAAATCTATCTATCTATCTATCTATCTATCTATCTATCTATCTATCTATCTATCTATCTATCTATCTATCTATCTATCTATCTATCTATCTATCTATCTATCTATCTATCTATCTATCTATCTATCTATCTATCTATCTATCTATCTATCTGGTTCACATTTGTACTGTATTTGGTCTTACTGGTCTGTTAGTCATGTTCTCTACACAATGTTTGTGTACATTTACATAATAGTATTCTTTGGTCATATCAGACTTTTCCACCTCCATGTCTGTTATCAGGATGATTTCTGGGAAGGATTCTGATTTGTTTTTCTGATTCATTTTCTCTAAGAGAGAGGTTTCATGGATTGAATTAAAAAAAAAAAAAAAAAAAAAAAAAAACAATAACCAGCATGGCAAAATTGCTGTAAAACTAGGTAGATATAACATAATTGATGTCTTAGGTGTTTGTTTATCTGAAAATCTGTGCTTGAGTGACAATTTTGTAACGTTAAAGCTATTTCAAGAGACTAAAGTGGTCTTTTGAAGAAGGAAAGGTGTTCTCTTACATTTACATTCAAAGCATTTGGCAGATGCTGTTCTCCAGGGCAACTTTGTTATCAACACATGCCATGCATGGAATTTGGAATGCTATCTGTTGGAAAAGAAGTGCTTCTTATACAAATATAAAGAAAAAAATACAAGATAAAATTTGAGTTGTAGGTCCGCATTGGATAAACGAAGGAGCTTGACCTTTGACTACCTTTATGCTAGGTTGTGTACTGCCTCAGGCACGTGCACAGGTAGGGCTCAACCTGTGCAGAGCACATGCCCTTTTTGCCGAAGTGCCCTTTTTTTTGGTGATGGTGTTTTTTATTTTATTTTTTTATATAAATTAATGCTATTGGTCATCCTTTAAGTCTATCTGTCTGTTTTAAAAATATTTAGCCAATGAAAGATCTTAAAAAGAGCTTGTGTAAATCTTGTTCGCTGTCAGTAAAGCTGATAACTCCGCCCCCTCTATCGTGACTGAATGAACTGAAGCTCCGCAGCGGCCGCACAGCAGACAGCAGAAGTTTTGCAAGGGTAAACTAAGATCTTGTTGTTTGAATAAGTACTAAACACGTTGTCTATAAAAGCTCATATTTTATTTATTTGATGTCTGACTAAGATATGTGGGACCTGAGAGAGAGGACTATATGCTAACATTTGCCATAGTCATAGCCAATACATAGCCTACACTTAAATAGCCTGTGCATACAGCAGCATTTCATTTTTTATAAAATGCGATTTTGACCAAATGTATTTTACAACAGGAAAAACTGAGCGCCTATATAGCTATAACAATCTAGTTGGTAAAGCTGTTGATGAAAATGTAATGATGCCGCCGGCGCCGTTTCCATCAGAAAATCATAAGCACATGCGCGCCCCCGCGCTGTTCGTACTGGAACTGACACAAAGCGACGAGTGATCCTCGTCACCTACCTAACATATATTTCTAAGAAATGTGTTCTTTGATTTATGATTGCTGCTGATACACTTAATTTATTAACATTTAATCATGTTATGGTAATAATATTAAATTATGGTTAGTTCAAGGCTGTTAATATGGATGTATTCGCTGTCTAATTCTTGAATCTATAGTATTTTATATACTCTCCGGTCGTCCTCACATGTAGTAAAACATGGTTTTACTACAGTAATGTTGTAGTAACAAAAAAAAAAACAAAAAAAAACATTACAGAAGATCACTGTGAAATCTTTATATTTTATCATCCATAATGTAATTTGTGATTTCATTCATCCCAGGCTTAATTTATTTGATCCAAAATAAGCAAAAACAGTAATATTGTGAAATATTTAAAATAACTGTTTTCTATTTGAATATATTTTAAAATGAAATTTATTTCTGTGGTCAAAGCTGACTTCAGTGTCATGTGATCCTTCAGAAATTCTTTTCACTGCAACTGTACTTTTCACACTATTTTATAATTTTTTCATTGCTGGCTTATTTTATGGGAAGTGTAGTGAATAAGAGACCTTCAAGAGACCAACATTGGTCCTCCACAGTGTCAGGTTTTTGCCATCAACTGCAACTGTGGAGAGATCCTTTTCAAAAATGAGGTTAATTAAGAACCAACTCCGAAGCCTTTGCTCAGAGGAGAGACTAGACCTTCTCCCCATAGCCATAGAGAGGGACATCACAGTGAAGTCATAAACATCTTCAAGCATGGCTCACAGAAGGTTGCTGTTGTAATATGGTTTAAAGAAGCCCTGAAACTCTGTATATCTATATTATCTATATTATTATTATTATGGTTGTTAATAATAGTGAATAAATCTAAAGCTTTTGAGACTATTATTTTTTTTCTATTGAATTTGTCATGAAGATGAGACCATTTCCTCTTATGTAGGCTTACTAAATAATCTTGATATTAAAAAAAGGGAGGGGGGTGCCCTTTTTCAGTTTCAGCACATGCCCCTCAAAAGGTCTGTGCACGGCCCTGTACTGCCTTGTTTTGAACTTGATTCTAGCAGTTATAGGGAGCCAGTGAAGGAAGTGTAGCAGCGGTGTGATGTGGGAGTACTTGGAAGTTCACAATTTATTTTTGTCATCAAGAGAGAGAGAGGAAAGCGTAGGTGGAGGGTTGAGTAAAAGGTGCTGGAGAGTTTCCTTGGGGCAGCAGCTTCAAGCTTTGCTTCATAGCTCTTCTTCAAGTTCAGAATATGAGGCACAGTAATCTGGAGTTCCCTAATGTGCTATCTGAGCCCATGCAGCTGGTTATCCGGCTTCATTTAAAATCGCATCCATTTCTATATATTTGGCCTTCCGTTCACATTGAGATGGCGTTTTTGTCCAGCGAAAATGGAGTGTTTTGAAGACGCACTCCCAAATGAATGAATTTGAAAACACTTTTCAAATGTATCAGGATTAATGTAGACAAACGGTAGCCTCTGTTAGCCATTATGATGGAAATGTGGACCAGGCTTGGTGGAAACAGGACAGAGAGTCAAAACAAGAGAAAAATGCAACAATTGATGCAGCTGCTTCGATAATGGCTATCATGAGGTGTTGGTATGGTTAGGAAATCAGAAGAAGATTTTAGTAGCACCTTCAAATGAAGATCTTGGTGGGTGTAAAGAGGGCTAGGCTGAGGAGTGCAAGTGTTGAAATGAAATTTCAGTAGTGCAAACATGTCTAATACGTGTTTGTGTTTTGTGGTCCACAGGTTTATACACGGTATGGGAAATGTTACACGTTTAATGGAAACAAGACATCACCCAAGCGGGTGAGGCAAGGCGGCACTGGAAACGGCCTGGAGCTGATGCTGGATATTCAACAGGACGAGTATCTGCCCATCTGGAGAGAAACCAGTGAGTGATTATTAATGCAACTGCTGCTATTTTGCATCTCAGTTATAGATTGTAGTGTAAATGACCTTGAATGACTTTAGTATTTATGCTACTGTAATTTTGTTGCAAAGGAGATTGTTTTGTATGCATTATTCTTCTTCATACAGTTTGGGGTTGGTAAGATTTGTTTCTTATGCTCAAGATGGCTGCATTTGTTTGATGAAAAAATACAGTAATATTGTGAAATACTATTACAATTTAAAATAAATGTTTTCTATTTTAATCTTAAAATGTCATTTATTCCTATGACGACAACGCTGAATTTTCAGCAGCCATTACTGCAGTCTTCAGTGTTACATGATCCTTCAGAAATCAATCTAATATGCTGGTTTGATACTGAAGAATCCTTTCTTATTACCCACAGTTGAAAACAGTTGTTTCATTATTCTTTAATGAATAGAAAGTTCTTAAGAACAGACATTTTTTTGTAACATTATAAATTCCTTTACTGTCACTTTTGATCAATTTAACCCTTAAATGCATGAATGTTTCGCCAATCATTATTACATATTTGGGTCTTTAGCGACCCTTATCTGTACCTAACACGGATGGATCTCTACCGTCGCGATAATATAAAACTCTCCTGATATTAAAGTAACAATTACAGAAGAATAAAATAAAGCACATTTGGTTACCTTTTGGATTTATACCATCATCACTGTCCTCACCAGAGCTCATTTCCCAGTACGTTCAACATCTGGCTCATATTCGCGATCTCAAACATATTCTCAAAACTATCATTTTCAACATCTTAAAAATCAATATTTTGATCGCTGACAGCTTCTGAACCAGATCCACCATCAAGTGACAGTGACACTAATATTTGATTGCGTTCAGTACTTGCTCTTCAGTAAATCGCTCTGAGCCATTTCAAGTTTTGCTGATGATACTTCCTATTCATTTGTTTTCCACCTGCGGTAACTATGAGTGAAACGTCACTTCATTTTTGTGTATCAGACATTGTCACCTTGAGGAATAAAGATGAATTACATTTATTCAGTCATCAAAGTTTCAATTATTGTTGTGCAGAAAAAAATATACACGGTTACACACCTCGGGTCGTTAGTGAAATGAATGAATGGGAAACAGGCATTCTTTTATAATTTAATCATTTTTTTCTTGTTATATTGTTCGTAATGAATTGAAATACTAAGAAGGTTGATGTCTATCCTTAAAAAATGTATGAGGAGGAGGTTAGTGAATGACATCCCAGGTCACTAAAGACCCGAGGTATGCGTTTAAGGCTTAATGCATCTTGCTGAATAATATCTTTAAAGTGCCCCTATTATGCTATTATGCAGATGGGCTGATCTTGAATCTTCCCCGCATGACGTCATACAGGAAAAAGGTTACCTCCCCTTTCTCTGCTTTTCCCGCCCAGAGAATTTGACCTGCCCATGAGAAAATTAGCTAGGAAGTACGAACGCGCGAGCGCAATTTGAGTTTTTCCTCGAGAGACAACATGAAAAGGCAACAGTAGGCTAGCGTTTAGATGATAATGACTAACAGCATACGTAAACCATTCGAATAAAGTACCGTATCCAGACATAATTTTTAAACTAACCATTCGGAGATGTCCTGCTGGAGCCGCTGAGTTGCAACTTCTTCATCCGTTGCTTCTCCATACGGATCAGATTCTGGGTCAAACTGAAATGCTTGAACGACTGCGTGTCTGCGTGCCATTGCAATATATCCAATGTAAACATGCATGGTACTGTTGCCGCGAAATGGTCAAGGCCACACCCGCCCTACACCTTGCCCCACCTTTCTCCTCCTCATTAGCATTTAAAGCTACAGACACTGAAACGGCACTATAATTCTGTACCACGGCTGAATTTTGGGAAAAGGATTTCAGATACAGTACTAGGGACCACTAAGGCCTATATCAAAGCCTGGAAAAAGAAGCATGTCATGGGACCTTTAAAAAAATATTACTGACCCCAAACTTTTAAACGGTAGAGTTTAAAATTAGAGGTAAAATAATTACGATTATTTGGTGAGTAGTCATGCATTAAGCGGGAGAATGTCCAGCTAGCTGGTTGTTATCGCAAGATAAATCCCAACAGGTTTAACGGGACCCCAAAACAGAGCGGATTTGCATAAATTGTCCTTCAAAAGAACAAACAAATACAGTGTCTGTCAAATGTAATTTTTTACCCATACAATCTGTCCATCTTCAGATGAGACGACGCTGGAGGCAGGTATTCGGGTTCAGATTCATAGTCAGAACGAACCCCCTTACATCCACCAGCTGGGCTTTGGGGTCTCTCCAGGATTCCAGACATTTGTTTCCTGTCAGGAACAGAGGGTAAGTTTAACTGGGGTAAAAAAAACCACACTCCTGTTGCTTGGCACAAAAAAAAAAATTGTAATAGGTCTGAATTCAATACCAAGGCTGTTCTAAACTCTTGAATTTCAGACATTTTTTAATTAGGAGCTAATTTACAAAAAGTCGCAAAGATTTAAAGGCTGACTGGGATGTTTTCTAATTGAGACTGCATGTGTCAAGTGTTTCACAGCTATAGGGTGCACTCAAGCTGACAAAGAAGCAGAGACAGAGACTCTCTTTTAATGTCTGCTGTTTTTCTAGCTAACGTACCTGCCACAGCCGTGGGGGAACTGCCGGGCTTCATCTGAGCCTGTGATCCCAGGATACGACACCTACAGCGTCAGTGCTTGCAGACTGCACTGTGAGAGCACGCAGGTGCAGAGAGAGTGCAACTGCAGGATGGTGCATATGCCAGGTGCGTGTTGTATCTAAGTGGGAGATAAAATCTGTCTGTATCAGTAAGAACAAATGTGCCGTGTTGATACTTATCACGCCACCACACAGTTCATCGTATAATTCTTCTTAATGCTGCTGACAGATTGGCAGCTGCATCCCAACATTCCTGGTTTCTCTGTCGAAACAGTGGCTTTCTTGGAAATGAGTGTTCTAACCATTTATAAAGCAGACTTATGTAATAAACAAGCCCTTGTGTGGTTATGGAAGCTTGTTTCATCCATGGAATAAAAAATAAAAAAGGCAATTGCGACTTTATATCTCACAATTCTGAGAAAAAAATTAGGATACTTTTTTTCACAAAATTGCAAGTTTTGTATCTCACAATTCTGACTTTATAACGCGCTATTGCGAGTTTATATCTAATTAGGACTTTTTTTCTCAGAATAGCATATCTGGAAAATATGCAATTTTCCCTTTCGGACTTGTCTCTCAGTCGCCTGCTCATAGAGATCGATTTATATTTTGAGGCTCGTTTTGAGGAAAATTAGGTTGTAGCTCGTTGTCTAAGTTCCTATGATTGGAAATAGGTCTCATTTGTGTTATAACAACGTTTAGCTCACGAGTTATTGATCCGGGAAGTTTGAATCTGTGAATATATTGTCAACTTTACTGAACTCCTTGAGTAAAGCACTGACCGTATTTCTTTATATTTTAGTCCAAGTTCAAAATATAACTCTATAAACCGCTCCATTGTTAACGTACGGAGCTGTATGAAACACTGCCAGTGGGACATTAAACAGGAAGTGTTTGTCCGAACTCAAAACAAGTTTTGAGAGAATGCAAAGGTTTTGCGAGAGAAAGCAAATATCTTTGCGATCGAACGCAAAGTTTTTTTCCTCCCATCCCAGATTTTTTACACCACGTCTGGGATGGGAGTAAAAAAATATTTTTCAAATCTTTTGCGTTCTCTCGCAAAGATATGTCCCGCTGGCAGAACTCAAGGAGTTCAGTAAAGTTGGCAATATATTCACAGATTCGAACTTCCTGGATCAATAACTTGTGAGCTAAACGTTGTTAAAACACAAATGACACCTATTTCCAAACATCCAAACATAGTAAGACAACGAGCTACAACTCAATTTTCCTCAAAACGAGCTTTATAATATAAATTGATCTCGAGCAGGCGGCTGAGTTTTGCGAGGGAAGATATTTGCGTTTTTTCGCAAAACCTGTTGTGAAATTTTATCTCACAATTCTGAATTGTTTTCTCACAATTCCAAGTTTAAATATAAACTCGCCATTGCGAGAAATAAAGTCGGAATTGCACAATTGTGTCACAATTGTGAAATAAAAGGTCGCAATTACTGTTTGAATTTTTTTTTATTCCTTGGTGGAAACAAGCTTAATTCATACTGTAGTTGGTTACATTTTTCACACATCAAATATCTCTCTACAGGTGATGCTGTTATCTGCACACCGAGTAAATTCAAGTGTGTTGACAAGGCGTTAGGTAAGGTCATCCCAGACACATAAAAATACTGATGCTGTTTGATCAACTCAATTAATATGCTTTCTTTTTTATTCCCTCATTTCCTACGTTTATTCCCTCATGTTCCTACAAACCTGTATCATTTTCTTTCGTTTGCAGAAGATATTTTGAAGAACAGTTTTTTCCAAACTATGAAAGTCATTGGGGTCCAAAACGACACTGGAACCCTCTGACTTTCATTGTATGGACAGAAAAAAAAATTATAATACCGTAAGACTGACATTTTTTCAATATATCTTATTGCATTACAGGTTTGAAGCGACATGAGACTGAGTGATTAATGAGTGCATTTACATGCACTTTCTTTCACCGATTATGCTAAATAAACCGACAACCGATAAAGAAAAACGGTTTACATGACCACAATTAAGGTCAAATCCAGCTTAAGAATAAACTGGTCGACAGCTAGATTTTTGCCCATTACCCCGATTTCACCTGGCATGAAAACACCCTAACTTGAACTTAATGAAGTGTGCATGTGTATCAGGAAAGCATCCTTACTGCAGATTTAAGGGCATGCAACCAGAGTGAGTGTTTCGCTATATGGGAAAAGTAAATATATCATTTACTCAGACTCTTTCTTGACCAAGAAATTATAAAAATGTGATCTCATCGCCAAAGGAGAAGTGGTATAGTCATAGAAACTGAAATTATGAGTCCGTACAAGTTTCCCGCTGACATTTCGGAATACTATGGGGTTTTTAATGTTTTACTTCTTAGCATCACAACTCACATAATAGACTACTCTGAGTGGAATTGTAACGAACACCAGTGAGAGTGCCCGGGATAACCATCAGAGGGCACTCCAACCCGGACAATCACCACACATCCACAAACTACATTTCCCATAATCCTTTGCCCAGACTAATCAGCCATGTTCACATTCACCTATGTCATTACCTTGTTAAACTCACCCCACATAAGCCTGGTTCTCACATTCATTCCCTGCGAAGTCTTGTTTAGTGTCTCTACTGCAATTCTGAGCATTCTCTCTGTTCTTCCCGTGTTCTTGGTTTTTGATCTTTGCCCGTTTCCCCTTTTTGCCTGTGTCCCCTGCCTTACTTTGTGTTTATGCCTGTTATCTGGATTACCCTTTCAAAATAAACACTGCATTTGCATTCTCAACCTTCGTGTCTCGGAGCAGTTCGTGACAGGAATACACGGATGCTTACGTTTTGTTGCCGGGTCATTGGTCTGCATGTAAACTGGAATTTCTTTTCAATAAACTGCTTATTGGTGTGGATGTAATCATGCTCAATGACAAGTTTTAAACAGTGATCATTGACAACTCTATTAATTTCACTTACTTGAGGGTTTAAAAACACCCAAATGCATTTAAAACTATTGAACAACAGAGAGCTCGATTATTGATGATAACTACAGCACCATTCATTACAGTAGCCCACTTGTCCGCACCAAGTATAATTCATCAATATTTCCTGTACACTTCTCCAGCTTTACTCCAGAAGAGCACGGGTGACTCATGTCCCTGTGAGACACCCTGTAATTTGACTCGGTATGGAAAAGAGCTCTCTATGGTTAAAATCCCCAGCAGGGGCTCCGCTCGCTACCTTTCTCGCAAATACCGGAAATCAGAGGAGTACATTAGGTAAGTCCAATGCATAAATGTCCACACACATGACCTCAGGGGTAGTTTTTATTCTGCTGCTGAACATTTCAACATTATAGTTTAAACCCTCAGACAGACCAAAGAGGAAACATACCCAGAAATGGTTTTTCATAGAAAACCAAATATGCTTCTGCAAGGATACTTGCTCAGCATTTTTGAAAAATGTATTTATTTGCAAAACATGCTTCTTTCACAAATTATATCGGCCTTTTCTAATAACTATAGCAGGAGTTCTATTGTCCAAATTTCAGGCTTGTTTCTGTCAGTTATATAATGGGATGACAAATGTAATTGTGGTCCTCCATTCACTGGCTTAATAATAGAAAAAAAATATTGAATAGTCTGCTCTAAAATGACATTCTGTGGTTTCCACTAATTATTATTTTTTTTAACCATTTTTGTGGCTAATCCTTTTCTTTCCATAATACAAATCATAATGGGCTAGTTTCCATACTGTTTCCCTGAAGGGAATTAAAAATGTTTATTAAACATTTTTTTTATTGTGCAGAGACAACTTTCTCATCTTGGATATTTTCTTTGAGGCCCTTAACTATGAGACAATAGAACAGAAGAAAGCATACGACATTGCTGGTCTGTTAGGTATGTTTGCAATCCCCACACACTACAACTTGTACTATAACTATTATGATCATAATAGTCTGGCTTTTTAAAAGTGTTACTTTTTTTTCTCAGTCGCTTTGGTTCGTTTCTCAGATCACAACTATCATTTTCCATTGCTTTGGCACAAAATGACCTTCGATGACTACATCTTTCTAATTGCATGAATTATATTTTTCTCTTAGATACAACCACAACCAATATATATTGAAATATATTCCTAATCTAAAAAATTTCAAATAAATCAAAACAATTATCAATTTCATTACCATCTATACAAAATGAGACGACTAAGGTTTAATTGTCTACTGCAATGTAAACATTGACCATGTAACATACAATACAGTACAGTAAACTGCAGCGAATTTTAAACAGAAGAGAGGTGTCATTCTGGTTTTGTACAGAATTTTTTTATTTGGTCATTGTTTTATGAGTGACAAACTGCATTTGTTGGGTGATTACCTCTGCTTGTGTTATAGAAGCAAGCGTGACTTGAGACATGATTGAAGTGTTTCGGTATTTTTTGTGCATTTTGGATGCAAAATTGACTGCTGTGCCAAGCTGAAAATTGGTAAGGAGAACAGTATGAAGAGTTTTGAAAATGTGGCCTAAGTATTGAGAAATGGGGCCTAGTGGAAAAAACAAACAAAACAATTCAATCTCTAATTTATGTCATTGCTGTTTGGTTTTCAATTCCAGGAGACATTGGTGGACAAATGGGGCTCTTCATTGGAGCCAGTATTCTTACTATCCTGGAAATACTTGACTATTTATATGAGGTATGTATCTTCACTTCATTGTGTAAGGATAGGACAGTCCCCTGACATTCACATAAACATCTCTTGTCCTTTCAGTCTGCTTTTAATCTTTATCTCTATAGGTGGCCAAACACAAAATCAAGCAACTCCTGAAACCAAAGAAGAGTCAGAAACAACAGAACCAACAGAACTTAATTCAAGAGCAGATCCAGAGAACAAAGAACCTGCGAGCTCAGCTGGCTGCCGGAACTATAGCTACAGTCAGATTTGAAGAAGTCAAAGTCAAGGTGAGTCACAAAAACAGAGAGATTTTTGAAATGGCTTCGAAACTTTGCACCTAATATCTGAAGATCTGCATCATGCGATATGTTTGTCAACAGGCAGCTAATGACCTGGCTCAACCGCACAGTGCACATCCAACTTCAATGTTACCAAATCATCACAACGCACAACCGGTCGTACAGCAGGACTTTGCTTTTTAAGGGACGCCTCTTCTTCTCCCTATTTATTTTTTCATATCACTGAACTTAAAATTGGGATCCTGAATTGACCCTGAACTGAATTATACATTTCTGGTTTTTTTTTTTTTTTCACTTATAAAAGCTACAGCCAAAGCCTAATCCGGGACCTCATCATGTGAAATCGGCTCAAACCAGTCACACCGCTCACACTCTTTCAAAGCATTATCAGATGAAGAAACCACATGTGCTTTTGTTGATTTGTGTTTTTTCCCCCTTCTGGATGGACCTATCATGGGCCTAAAAGAAGAAAGATTGTGAAAATATTGCATTCACACATAAATATCCTATTTGACTGGACAAACAGGAACGTAAGGAAAGTTATAAGGGAAACAGAGAGTTGAAGCAAACATGCACCTTTTGCTAAGTGCAGAACAAGATTTCTGCGTGGTTCTTCTTGCGGTAATGTACAGTGCTTGTGCCATTTCATCTTTTCACATTTCTTAATAACATAATGAGACTTCTCAGTAGGAGAAAAGCTAAAATACACCACTCATTTTTCTGTGAGTAGGTGTTATGCTCTTTTTCAGTCTTATGTAACTTTTCCATTGTGCTAGAAACAGTCTAGGTTTGAAACATGGAAAACACCACTAGAACACACTGTTTGCTGAGATCATCTCTAGTAAAAATAAATAAATAAATACATAACTGTAAACACTATTAAATAATATCCTTTGTATGAAAATAGGTGATAGAGTTTTTATTTTGTATTCAAATACAAGCACATTCAAATACAATATACACATTTAAAATTGTAGTAACATTTTGCTGAATATCCATCATTTCCATCTGGTCTAAAAAAGTGTGAAAAGGACTAGAATACAATAATACTCACTACAGCTAAAACAGAAATGTCAGAGTATAACCTTAAAACCACCATAAGCTCTTTATTTTATTTCTTATATTTTTTTGTCTTGAATAATGTATTGGAGACTGGTCACAAGCCAGAGCCTTCTGATTAAATATGCATAATACTGTATTTCCACAGATTAACCTTATACATGAAGGCAGCATTTCAAGGAGAGAAAAAAACTGCTTTTACTGCCACCTAGTGGGCTTAATACTAAAACACCAACACCTATCATGTTTCATCAACACCACTTTGTGTGAACTTAGTAACACCCGCTCAAGTCTGGTGGCTCCATATTGGGGGTCATTCAAGGGTAGAGATGCTATATGGAATCATGCAATTCTGCAAATTACTGTGGAAATATTTGGTGAATAAAAGTTGTTTTTAACAGAATGTCACATGGATACACTGACGATTTTTTTTGTGAGCAAATGGGTTGTGATTACAAAATAATAATAATAATAATAATGACAATTTACCCTTACTTACATTGACACACTTTCTACAAATAGAATTAGAGCCTCTTAGGCTCTTCATCTGAAACCATTTCTGTTAGCAGCAGCACACCACACACAGTAAACATCTGCAGTGTGATGCATTAACTATAATCTCATTATAGCATGTCAATTCCACAGAGCCCAACACCTGGTACTCTGCTCACAAACATCCCTTTGATAGAGGAAATATGGAAAGGAAAACAAACAAACCACCAAAACATCATTCTGACATTATAAATATACTTAAATATTAGGTTCATGTGCAAAACAAAACAAAACAAAACAAAACAAAAAAAGTGTTTTTGTGTTCATTTGTTGGTTGGTTGCATATTGAGAAATATTCCACTGTGAAGGAACAGATTTCAAGGCACAGATTTTACATGGACATTACAATATAGTTAGGTTGCGCCAGACAGCCAAAGCTAACGGGAAAAGGAAGTGTGGGTGGAATACTGGAATGCCTTTAGCAAGGGCGGATTTAGAATTCTGGAATAATACAAAATACATTGTTATACATTCGCCCTTTCATAACTGTCCATTTTTGTTGTGAACATTCTTCATCCTCTCTTCCCTTAGCTGCAGTCACAATAAAAAAATACACTATAATCACTTAAAAATTTCTATTCACATTCTCTTTCCCAGCTCCGTCACTAACCAAAAGTATACTTCGGTTTTTACATGTATGCTAGTTTATGCGTATGCATGATTTTTTTTTCTAAACCAGTTAAGCCGATTTCATTGGTCAACTCAGTCACGTAGTCAACTGTAAAGAAAAGTTCAAACTTCATGGATTCAGTCGAGAGGTCAGAAATATCATCCAATCCTATCACAGCAAACAGTAATAAAAAACAAAAAAGCTATTTATCAGGATGTGCGACCAACGCTATACTGAGGTTATGTTTAGGGGTTAGTATTTGTTTCAGCGTTAAGGGGTGGACACTTTTTGTTCCATAGACTTCCAAATGTGCATGCGAAATCATATTAAAACTACTACAGTGTCCAAAAAAAAAAATGTAATGCACAGGTCTAGTGACCGCTGCTTTATGTAGGCAATCAGCATTGTGATTGACATGACCAATGAAAACTTTAGAATCTGCTGTGGGATAAAAATCATGCTGTAAGCACAATGCATGTGACAAATTTCATCATTAGAATAGCATCCATACACTGTGCGTACAGTGCACAGACATATTTTCTAACTGTGCATACTCCTACCTTGAATTTTGTTGCAGTAATTAGTTTGTCCACAAGGTGAACAAGGAAACAGGTGAAGTGTACTTTAAAAGGCTATAACTGCATCCGAAATCTCATGCTTCCCTACTATATAGTAGACAAAAAACAGTATGTGACAAGAGTAGTATGTCCGAATTCACAGTACTCATAAAAGAGTAGGCAAAAAGTACACAGATCACCGAGATGATACAATAAACGCTTTACTATCCCATGAGGCCATGGGAGAGGATTTGTGAATGGCAGTGAAGTGACGCAATTGACGCTGGTAGGTCACTTGACAGTGCCAACTTGGCGAATGTACTACCTCCGGATTACATTCACACTACACACATACTATATAGAACATACTTTTGTTTTAGCGGTCGCAAAGTAACTACTCAAAATAAGTACCTACTCAGAGAGTATGCGATTTCGGACCCAGCCTATGAGTTTGGCTGTACGCATATGCTAGCATTTGTGTCAAAACTTAAGTATACATTGGGTTAAACTACACCAGTCTGTAAGGTAAATAACATTTACAAATGAGGAATGCAACATTAAAAACAATCCATCCTAACCAGGCAGCAACATGTGACGTGCTGCAATACAAAATTCTAAAATTGTTCAGAAAAGCACAGTGAAAGAACAGTATCATTTTTTGTAGTGCATTAACAGTTGCGAGTCAAGTACTCACAGAAAAATGTTTCTTGTTAAATGTCTTAAAATATTCCCTTCAGAACACTTCTCTTTGAATTCAGTAAGATAATCAAACAGATTTTACTAGAGACAGATGTTAGGAGAAGGAGGAGTGTTGCTAGCGGTTAGCCAGTCTACAGTTACCCCACTGTTGCTTCTTTGGAAGCTCCTCAGGTACGGTTTCCCTGCTCTTGTTCAAATATTAGCATGGCGAGCTGGGAACGTGACCCCTGGCCCTCCAGAGAGCTCTGGAGACAGCGATGGAACACGTCCTCACTTAGCCGAGGATCGCAGGTTTGGTTGCGGAAAGCCTGGCGCAAAGCAGGCTCGACGGCACGGAACACGTGCAGTCCCGAGTACTGAACAAACATGTCATAGAGATCCAGACTCTCCAGCAGATCTTCACTCTCCTGCAAATCCCCGGACATCCGTGTGCGTGAGGACATGTAGTCAGAGTTGTAGAAACACGCCTCCTCGAAGGTGTAGCGGTCAAAGTGACCAGCTTCCCGGACCAGGTCGTGTGAGGCAGGGGGAACCTGGTCTGGATAAGCCACACTGGGGTCAAAGTCTTGGAAATGGATGGGAAAGAAAGTCTGCCAGCCACTGATGGTGTTCATGCGGCAGCGATTCAAGAACTCTGAGTTGAGTACTGTGTCAGCTGTGACCAGGAGGAAGAGTGTTTCTACCGGGTGCTTCCTAGAAACAATGTCCAGGATCCGCAGGACACCAGGATTTTCTGTCTTTATGCTGATCCAAGACACCTTGACGCTGGGATATCTGCGCTCAACTGCGGTGATCTTAGCCTTGACCTCTGAAAAGACATCATTTGTACTCACTTTTTGGGCCTCAGCGGGTTCATAAGTGAACAGGAAATTAAGAACTGCATTCTCACCAGTCTCAAACAAATTGAGTGAAATGTGATCTAAGAAGTGCAGTGCTACATGGGACTCATAAGTAGTGAGGGGCAAGAGGACGTGAACTCGTGTAGCCTCGGTGACATAAGGCATGGGGATAATCTCTACCCGGCTGAGGGGTCTCACAAGATGTACACGGCGTGCGATAGATTTCTGGTGACCAGACTCAGTCGTGGCCTGAACCTGCAGGTCCAAGGTGTACTCCATCCCTCGTGTCTGGTCCAAGCGCCTGTAACCGTTCACCAGCCGTGGAGAGCTCAACTGTACAAAAGGGTTGTATTTTTTATTGAGCTCTTCAACAGCGACCCTGATGACATCAGTCACGTCATCGCGATCAGCACCATTGAGCTGGCATTTAGGGGCACCATCCACACAGGAGAAAAGGTTATCTTCGGTAAAGTAGTCCCAACGCAGTACCTCAAAGCGGCTTTTGGGTTCAAAGGGAGGTGTGATGCCAATGGGCCATAGAGCACTCTTGTTTCCATCCGCTGCTACTTCACTGACATTCTTTATCTCAGACTGAGGGTGAAAAGTAAAGTGCATGAAAAGGTAAAGCCATTACACTTAAAAAAAATACAATCAATATACAACACACTGTATCTTTAGGGGAGAAACAACTTGTCACTTTCATCTTGAAGGGTACATATTAATATTGTAAGGTATGATATCCCAGCTGAAAAATACAGCATAAACCAGCATGAATTCCATGTTGGTCCAGGTAGGTTTATGCTGGTTAGACCTGGTATATTGCTGGTCTAGCTTGAGGACCTGCAGAAGCTGGTGTAGTTGGTCTCAGCTGGTGTAGTTGGTGCAGCACTCCAGCTTCCCATTATGGGGATCAGCAAACCAGGAACCAGCATCCCAGCATGCAAATCATACCTTATGCCGGTGACCAGCAATTCTGGATTTTTCAGCAGGGATAGTACCTTATGCTGCGTTCAGACTGCACAATATTTTTGTCTGACATTTTTGTAGACATGACTAGACGTTACGTGATGTCATCGAGAAGGTGGAATAAGAGCGTAAACAAATAATGGCTACCGAAGTGGCATGTTAGCTTAATGCTAACTCCAGTACTCACCACTATAGTTCACCAGCATTTATCTTACTCCACTCTGTTGTGGTAGTCCTTTGAGGAAACATCATAAAGGTAGGAGTATAGTTGCCATAGCTCCACAAACCTTCTTCCATTGCATAATTTTACCTAGCAACACCAATACCATTGTCTCTCTTTCGTTTCGCCATGTTTGAAAGCTGTGTACGGAAGAGCTTCTGTGCTCCTATTGGTCAACATCACAGATGGGACAGAACCCATTGTAGACAACAGAAAAAAATTAAACATGCTAGTCTTTCTGTCGTGACATCATGAAGTGTCACAGATGCGGCATCGGTTATCGTCTACTATGATACACTTTACGAGATAAAACGGTCGATTCTTGTGTCCCGATGCCATTGTCGTTTATGAATCACCATGACACCCTTCGTCAAACCAAAATCGAGTTGATATCATGTAGTCTGAACTCAGCATTAGGGTACTAATATGCACCCTTTATGACAGTGTTTATCAACTCCACTCCTGGCGAACCCCCATACCAGAACGTTTTGATGCTTCACTAATTAACACCTGATTAAACTCATTACCTTTTTAGTTTGTTGAATAGGGAGACATCTAAAACATTCTGGTAGGTGGGTCCTGAGGACTGGAGTTGAGAAACATTGCTTTAGGGCAAAAAAGATGAGAACCACTTATTTAGGGGTAGATCCATTAGAAAGGTGTACCTTTGAGGGTACTGCCCCATGCAGTGACAAGGTAAATGTATAATGTAGCATGCATATGCTTTCAAAAAAAATTATGAATAAAAAAAAAATATTTTGAATAAAGTATACAAAATAAAGAGCTAAATAAAACACACACATATATGCATGCATTTGTTAAGTTGTAAAGAATTCAGCACAATCTAACCTGCAGTTTTTCAATCTCCTCATAGGTCCTCTGCAGTTCTATCTCTGTGAAATGTTTGTGCAGACGATACATAAGTTCTGCACTGGTCACTGGATGAACAGTGAGAGCATTCCGGAATCCATCATTCCCCACTCTGGGAAGGTCCATATGGCTTTCCATTGTAAAATAATTATAATTCAGCCCCTAAGGTAAAGCAAGATTGAAATTAGATCAGAATAATATATTGTATATACTGTAAATATAATTTACATGTATTGTGGGGTTTTTTAGGCTTCAACATTTGGCACAATAACAAGAATGTGGTCATAGTTGCATAGACAGCACCTCTAGGTTAATTCTGGTCAGCTCTAGTCAGCAGACCCTTGCAATTTGCAGTCAAGCTGTTTAATGTCTTGTTGTAACCATGCTAATTAAGTGCACAAATCTCAGCAGGTCTGCAGCTGGCCTGCCGAGAACAGGAAGAAGTACATCATTCCATTCAAGTAATCCTGGTGTCTGGACACTCACTTGTTTTATGCTGGATCCAAACAGCATGTTCAGGTCTGTGTGAATTACTGATGCTTTATGGTCAGGTCACTGCTTTTATGTCATTGTTCAAAAGGTCCAAACTTAAACAACTAGACTAAGACTTAGTCCTAAACCTAGTATAATGATATGTTGCCCCTGCATGAGATTGATAGCTCACCTAATGAAAGCCAGTGAGTTTATTTCTCTGTGGAGAAATCATTAATTCTGCTATTTCCAGCAACAGAAATGATTTGTTTCTTTGATTTTAATGTTCATACAGTTTTACAGTGATAATAATTTAGCTTTATCTGCTTCCAGCATGTATTTTTCCCCCTAAACCAGTTAAGTGCAAACCATTCTGAATGCCTGCTGAAACAAATACTAACCCCTAACCTTTGTAGCACATCCTGATATATATACCCTTACTGCTTGTTAATTAAATTTAAAACTACTAATCGATTTTCACCTTCCAGCAATTAGTGAAATATGATTTTTTTTTTTTTTTTTATGAAATTGTGTTTCCGTTCTCTCAAATACTCTGAATCTACAATGATTTTGCATTAACTTCCAATTTGTTTAAAGTTTTTTTGAAATAGCAAATCCATATGTATAGAAACAACCATTTAAAACCTTTTTTTTTACTTTTTTTTTTTAAACAAACCTCATTTAATCATTTATGACTGCTTTTGCAGTAGAATTAAAGTATGGTCATATTTTTGTGTCCCTGTAACATACATACTGTCTTGGTTATAGATGTATTTTGCAAGAGACATTTGGTTACTCTGACCAAAGCTGCAAAATGCAGTAAAAACAGAAAATATCATTAAATATTATTACAATTTAAAGTAGCTGTTTTCTACTTTAATATATTTTAAAATGCAATTTTTTCCTGTGATTGCAAATCGGATTTTTACTCCAGTCTTGCTGTCACACAATCCTTCAGGATTCATCTTAATATGCTAACTTTGGTGCTCAAGAAACATTTTTTATTATCAATGTTGAAAACTGTAGTATTGCAACTGTGATGCATTTTTTTTATAAATTGAAAGTTCAAAAGAACAGCATTTATTTAAAATATAAGTGCATTTGATTTATAAAAATAATACTTTTTAACATATCTTCACTGTCACTTTTGATCAATGTAATGCATCTTTGCTAAATAAAAGCATTCCTTTCTTAAAAAAAAAAACAAAAAAACAAAAAAAACATACAGACCCCAAACTATTGAACGTTTCTTTAAGTCATGCAGAAACCTGAATCTAAGCAGATCAGGCTATTTAGAGTGTGAAGGTCTTCCTTCAACTCTATGCCAAAGCATTGAAATGGGCATAATCCACTAAGAAGCCAGCAGCCGTAGCACCCATGTCCAATCCCATTTAACACACCAACTCACAAACCATTGCTTATCACACTTATGGGGCCCTATCATACACCTGGCGTAATGCGGCGCCAGGCGCGACGCAAGTGTTTGTTTGCTAGTTTCAGCCCGACGCAGTTATCATTTTTACGTCCTGCGCCACGTTGTTTGAATAGCAAATGCATTTGTGCGCCCATGGGCGTGCTGGTCTGAAAACGAGGTGTGTTCAGGCGCATTGTTGGCACGTTGCTATTTGGAGGCAACTGAAATAGACTGCACCATTGACCAACTGAAATCTGGTCTAAAGTCAATGGCGCAATATTTTTTTGTTATTTAAAGGGTGCGTTAGTAATATGCGCCTATAGGTGGGTCACAATGCGTGTATACTCTGCTTATTACACACACAGGGGCACAGCAGCACACAAATATGCCGAATAGGGATAAGGGGATAATAAGGATTACAATGTAAAAGTACATAAAGATATGGTGGAATCCGGCTTGTCCCATAGATGGTCTGCTCGCGCACTTTAACCTCGCGCACTAGCAGATCCGTTTCCTCTCTGGAGATGCGTTCAGTCTTTCTGATTACACATTTCCACCATGTAAATAGCGCAACTGGCTTTTAAAGGGAATGGGAGATGAGACTGGTTTATTGCATGTTACACCAAAAACACACCCATTACTCATTAAAAGAATAGAGACAACCCTTTTAGACCATGCGCCGGGCGCGTCGACCGTTTTTCCCGCCGTTAAACTAGCAAAGGATGGATTCGGACACGCCCTAAGTGAACTTGGGCCGTGCGCTTTAGACCATGTGCTTAGATCGTTAAAATAGGGCCCTTGACGTTTTACCATATATACAGTATATGTTATATACTGTTCTATACTGCCTTCGGTGCTGATTATGTGAAATAAATGTTTTGAACATATGCCGAGCATTTTCACATGACTGTGAGCTTGTTTGAGTATATCAATGTACCTGCCTCAGAATTTGAAAAATACTGTGAACTATTGAATATTTGCCCTCCCTGGTGCATTGAGCCTCTCAATATATAACAGCGCACCCTCTCAATAAAGCATGGGCCCTTGGGTAATGTGGTTTCCTGTCGAAACTAGAGACCCTAGGTGGAAAATGTAGTCATTTGTGACCAGCATAAACATTGCCAACTAAGGAAAACCAGCTACATGAAAAGTCTACTTTATCAACACAGGCCTGTTTTTAGAGTTTGCCAGGATGATCTGTACATAGTTCAGGCTCTGAGCCCCCCAATCCCCCCACCTCCTCCCTTCCTTCAGCTCATTCTGGCTCTCTCAGCTACATTTGCCCTGGGATAGATACTATTTTAGCTTGTGATTAATTGGAATCTCATGATGTGAGAAATGTAACTGCCTTTGTGATTACAGGGGAAAACCAGATGCTGTCATGATTGCATTGCAACAAAATAGAAACAAAGCTAATGAAATGGAAAGTTGATGGAATATAAACAATGAAAAGAGAATGCAATTTTGATTGTTTTGCTCTGGATACCATTTTGGTTCTCACGCTAGATTTAAAGGCATGGTTCATCCAAAAAATAAAATTCTGTCATTATTTACTCACCCTCGTGTGGTTACCAAGGGTTATTAGTTCACTTAAACTAAAACCATAAAAAAAACATGTTGTTACTTGAAATAAACTAAACTAACTGAAAGCTAGTTTTTTTAATTTGAGCTAGTTCCCAAGGCAACATTCTTCAATTTAATTTAGTTTAACTTGATGTACTGAAATAACTAAAACTTAAATAAAAAATAATAAAAGCTATATATATACAATTTTTTTTAAATTATAATAAAAGCTATATATATACAATTTTTTTTTTATTGTAAATTAGTTTTTTACAACTAATAAAAATGACAAAAACACAACAAAATTATTAAAATGTAAAGGGAAAATATAAATTAATTCAAAATATTAATCCAAATTATAATAGTATCTCAATCTGATACAAAAATAACCCTGGTTGTTACAACCTAGTTTGGCTTTCTTTCTTCTGCGGAATGAAATATTCTTTAAAAAAATCTGCTTTTGTTTTCCCCAGAAGAAAGCAAGCCAATTCAAGCTTGGAAAGACATGAGCGTGAGTAAACAAAGACAGACTTTTTTAATTCTTATACCAATCTTGCATAGATGTCATAAAGCATATTTGAGTCCCAGTTAATGATTACCTCTTACCTCATATTCCTCCACACAGTTCATGCCTACATAATCAATGATACAGCGACCGAGCCACTCATCAGGTCTGACGCTTATGATGTCAGTCCTGCATTGCTCCAAGAAAGGCTGGAGCTTCAGAAGTAGTGCACGGGATAGTAGAAATCCTGGTCCACTATGACAGTACCGTCCCTGGGTTTCACCTCCAATGAACTCTCCTGGGTGGCCCATGTAAAGCTGAAGGTCAATGCTGAGGTGGCTTACTAAAGTCTTAAGCCTTTCGGGCTGGGTATAGGTATCATCCTGGACAAGGTAGAACCAATCATACTCAGCAATGCGATGTTCTAGAAGATATCGGACAGACTGGTACATGTTTGGGACTGGACGCTCGTCACCGTGGACGACCACAAACATTCCATTAGGGAGTTTACGACTGCGAGTGCCTGTAAAGAAGATGAGTCGGCCATCCAGGTGGTGGTTGAGGGTCCGGTTGATGGCCACGGCTAACGTGTTTATGGTGGTTTTGGAGGTAAATACTGAAACAAAGAGACGTTCACGAATTCCAAGCTCTGTGCTGGCATACTTGGATCTAAAAAGAAAAAGACGAAGGATGAATTACTAACATGAAGAGTTAAAGGGATACTCCACCCAAAAAATGAAAATTCTGTCATCATTTACTCACCCTCAAGTTGTTGCAAACCTGTATGAGTTTCTTTCTTCTGCTGAACACAAAGGAAGATATTTTGAAGAACGATTGGAACCAAAGAGTTGTTTGGCACCATTGACTTCCGTAGTAGAAAAAAAAATACTATGGAAGTCAATGGTGCCAAAGTTCCAATCGTTCTTCAAAATATCTTCCTTTGTGTTCAGCAGAAGAAAGAAACTCATACAGGTTTGCAACAACTTGAGGGTGAGTAAATGATGACAGAATTTTCATTTTTTGGGTGGAGTATCCCTTTAAGAAATATGAATCACAGCACAGTTACATTAGGAACTCACAAGCACAGCTGGGTTTACTGTGTCAGTTGGTCAAATAAACCAACCCAACCATTTATAACATACCACAGACAGAAGTCCAAAATAGGCAGTAGTTGGGTCATTATTTATTCACCCCGGTGACAATCTAAACTTGTCTGCTGTCATTTTTTCCCCATAAAACACAAAATAATTTTCTGAATGATATTCATGCAACTCTCTCCATATATAAGGACAGTTAATAGCAAAAAAAGACAATCCAAAATCTGAAACCATATGATGCATAGCTTTGTGTGAGGAAAATTTAGGGCAAAGTTATTAAAAGAAAATGCTCTATGGTCTCAAACCTCCTTCATTTGAACAAGCATGTCACGTTCAGTTACGAGACAAATGAGAAATAATGTTTTCCACACAAAATGTATTTTTTCTAACTTCTCAAACAGCAGATACCATGTCCCTGTGATGGACAGGCCATCCATCCAGGGTGTTTCCTTGCCTGTGGTCCGAGATGCTGGGAAAGACTCCAGCATTTCCACGACCCTACATAGGACAAGCAGTTTGGGAAAAGGATGGATGGATGGATGCAGATGCCACCATATCTGATATATTCATGCTCAAACACTTTGTACATATTTCAGTGCCTGAAATGTTCTTTTAAACTATGTACAGTGAATGTAACTGTGAATAATACTAAATATTACCTGGAAAAGGGGGGAAGTTGTGGCATAGGCCTAATGGTTAGAGAGTCAGACTGGTAACCCGAAGGTTGCGGGTTCGATTCTTCTCAATACCGACTAATGTGCCATTCAGCAAAGGCATCTAACCCGCAATCGCTCCCTGGGTGCCACAGCAAAATAGCTGCCCACTGCTCCGGGTGTGTGTCCTCTGTTTGCAGTGTGTGTCTGTGTGTTCACTACTCCTAATGTGTGTGGTGTGCACTTACTTGGATGGGTTAAATGCAGAGGACAAATTCTGTGTAGGGTTACCATACTTGGGCTTCACACATCACTTTTGACAATCCCTTAAAGTGTTACTCTTGAAGTTACTAAAATAAGACTGTGGTAACTTTATTAGCAACCACTTTAAATATGAAAAATAAATAAATATTATTGAAGCTCCTTACACTATTTACTAAAAACTATTTTTAACATTGGCCGAACAATATTTTTCATTTTAGCACAAACTAAAGTAAAACTAAAAGTTTTCTACAATGTGTTGACATCATGAATGTTATGTTTATATGTGTCTTTAAGAACACTGTTGAGTTGTTGAAGCTGTCATTGTAGTTCAGATTACTGAACTGCTTATCCTTGACTGACAGCACGCTTTATGTGACCTGATGACATAACTAGGCCGCATCAGCTTCGTGAGGCCAAGGAGCAAGATCAGGAGCCTTTAATCTATAAATAAACAGAGTCCTAGTCCAGTTCCCCATTCACAAATGTGCACAGGTATCTTTAGTTTAGCAGCAAACTTCTTGCAGAAAAGCTCTACAGCTACAAAGAGGGAAAAAAATGTGCACTGGATGCTGTTTTATTTTAATAGTGTTTCTATCTTAATCACAAGTTGTTGTTTCCTTTTTTAATTGCTACCTTTCATGCATGCATGCTCTAAATAGACCGAACAGGCTCCATTCAGGGTGTGCAATGTATAGCATCACTGGTGGAGCTACACCTACCTGAAAACTTTTTTGGGAGGACCTTCCTGAGCAGGCTTATTATAAGGCACTATTCTGGGCTCAAAATCCTCTTCGACATTGCCGTTGTTGTCAGTTGTGCCAGTGGATATCGAACTAGGTTTACGTGCCCCTTTCGAGCTCCCAGGCTGCCCTATGAGCATCTCTTCGGCGGTTCCCATCCAGTCAGAGTCGCAGGACTCATCCACCCAGGTGACGCTCAGAAGGCTCAGCGTGAACCCCAGAGAGATGCCCACAATAATCGGCCCGGTCGGCCTGATGAGAGAAACTAACATTGAAATTCTCATGCTTACTGTCGTCGGCAGTAAATATTAAACTGTCCGCTCCTCAGCATAACGAGGAGATGCTTTTAGGAGAACGAGGCTGAGGAACTGCGTCGCTCTCTCTTCACACCTATAAAGAGAGACGTGACTGTTGCCTTCTGACGTGTCATCGCTCCGGACTCCGCCCCTTTAGTAACCAGACGTCAGTCAATGCAAATGCTGGAGCGCTGATGACTGCCATTCGACAGAGGCATGGACGGGGGAGGAGACCGCAGCAAACCTATTATTAACGGCAGCTATAATTTAGGAGTAAAAGCGAATTTGGTCGTTTGCCCTGGGATAATGCAAGGAAACCACGTTTGACCTGGAAAGTTTATGCTCTTTCTTTGTTTCACTAGAGGACGATCATTCTGTTTCAGCCTATACGATTATAATTCTACATGTTGGCACGTAAAGAAAGAAGGGACACACACCAAAATATAATTAATACAATTATTTTAAACATTTTAATTTAAAAAAAAAAAAAAAAAACATATTCTAAAAGAGAAAACAAGGTAAAAAAGCATTGAACAATTGACAAATACATAAAACATTGGCTAATAATAATAATAATAATACATAATGCATGTTGGTAACTTGTCAAATGTTGTCGTATATAATAGTTTTGTGTGATGTTTGTGGGTCCAGAATTTTTTCTTTTTCTTTTTTTACATTTAGGGGAAAGTTTTGAGTAAATGTTACATATACTGTCAAATTAAACAGTGATGTTCCTGTTCTGCCATCTAACATGCATTAACCTGATCATGTGAATCATATTTTAATCAAGTAATGAAATATATAGGCTATTATGAGATTGTATTTTGAGATTCTTAATTTTCTGCCTTGAAATTGCAGTGTGTGCGCTGTATTTTGTATTTGAGCAGGAGCAGCTATCAATCACATTAATTCCTAAGGTATCTTCTTTGGACACACACACACACACACACACACACACACACACACACACACACACACACACAATCACAATCATGCTATGCCTTGCACACACACCAATTGTTCCCATAAATCAGATAGCCAAGGCAAATAACTATACTCTCAGACTTAAAATGTGCACAGACATGGCAATATACACAAACACACAGCTCAGATCTTTCTTCCTCTGTCATTCTCGCCTCCCCTCGAGCAACACATCTGTTCTTATACTAAGTATACTTCCAGCCAGTCTAATTTAGTACACTTCAAGTGTGTTAATGATTAGTTATCTTGAAGTGAGCTATTTTGAAACAACTAATTTTGTTCTATTTTAGTTGTAATTAAATTGTAGTAAAGTAAAGTGTAAGTGTATTTAGTGTACTTTTGTGTACTTTTGTTGTATATACTTTAAGTATATAGGGACTAATCACATGCTTGATAAGTGATATTAAAGTGTAGCCTACTTAGTGTACTTTATTTGTGTGAGTAGGCTACATTACAAATTCATTGCGAGTGTCTTCGAAACATATACAAGCAATAGCCTATACCCTAAGTGTATATATATATATATATATATATAGCCTATATATATATATATATATAGCCTATATATATATATATATATATATATATATACACTATATATATATAGCCTATATTTTTTAAAGATTTATTTTTGGCGTTTTTGCCTTTTATTAGGATAGGACAGTTGCTAGACAGGAAGTGGGGTGGTGAAGAGAGAAGGGGGACGGGATCGGGAAAGGAACTCGGGTTGCCCGAAGCACAACGGCGATACATGTCGGCGCACTTGCCCAAGAGGCTGTCGGCATCGCCCATAAGTGCATACTAACTGCACACTTCAATAACAAATGCACATCAATAGACAAATAATACTTAGCTATACTTTGTACAAAATACTATTGTATACCTTAATGTATTTTGATACTTTCAATGCATTGTTACAATGATCATTTCCAGCACATAGTTAAAATATACCTAAAATATATTTTTTAAAAAGTGCAAATAAATACACTTTTAAAAATTAAACGGAATTTTCACTTCAAGTATATAGCTATATTTTTCTAAAATATATTTTTTGAAAATATACTAAAGTACAATTATTTTAAAGTGTGTTAAAAGTTGTATATTGTGCAAATAGGTAAAAGCTTGATGCTAATATATAATATATTTACTGTAAAGATAGTATCATTTTTGTTAGTATATTTGCAATGTACTATTGAAAAAGGGAATGTATTTCAAATACAATAAATTATACTTTTTTTCCATTAGGGTTACTTTGGGAGTATAATACTTGTTTCCCAAAGTGCCTTTGTTTTGGAAATATTACATTTGATGTGATTCTGTCTGCGTACTCATAGCCTATACCTGCTTTGCCTTAAATATGATAAACTAGTAAAGCTCTTACAAATCCTGCAAACTCAACATTGAACTCTGGGATACATTTGATCTACTGTAGCTGTTTAGGTGAAACTAACATCATCACACAATATTCATTAAAAAATGCACAAGTACAAGAGAACTGTAAAAATATTTTTTGAAGTATATGTAGTAGTTTTATTCTTCCACTAGGTGGCAGTAATTCATTAAATTGAGTGCCTTCAAATGGCCCCAGAAATTACTCCTAGGAGAAGATGTGCTCATGTTTTGCAACATAGTTATAAACCGTAATATGAACACAGACACGTGCGGAAATTCATCTAATAAAAATATATTCCATCTTAAAAATGTTGTAAAAAGATAAAATGGAACATTGAAATAAATGTGAAATGTGAGATCTATAATTCCACCTTGAGGTTTAGTGGACCAACTGAAAACCTATATAACTGCAAAGATACTTTATGAAACTTTTATTCAGTTTCCCCCAAATATCCACTTGTTCATCCAAAAAAGTACAATGAATAAAGCCATACGGGTTGATTTGAAGGTCAAAGGCCTTTTAGATTGTCCAGGCCCACAGTTGTGGTATTCACAGTAAGCCATCATAGTGTATGGGGCCCTGAGCCAGGCATTGTTCATTCACAGATCACAGTTTTCATCTGAACACTGAGGCTGTTTACTGTCTCTGGGATAAATGCAAGGAATGTATGGCAGAGTTTACTAAATAATGTCGCTATGCCACCGCCTCCCTCGGAAAGCCCAGATCACATGATCGGAGATGCTTCTGTCTCTTCAACAGTGTTATTAGCAGGAAAAGCCATATTGGCATAGAGCCTTTTATTATGGGTTTCCTTCCTGATACTTACCAAGAGCGAGCTGTGTCCAAATAGTATAGAATTGTTATAATTAAATGGACTAAAGGGATTTTATGTAAATTCATCACAAACAAGAAATGTACAATAAAGTTGGTTATTGTTACTGAAAATGTGCAATTTTTTTTTAAGAAGATAGCATTCAAAAGATAGCATTTTTATGTTTTTCTTTTATGTTTTTTACTGAAATATTGTATAATATTTGATAATTAAATAAATATTTAGCAGAACGTTTTCTGTAATGCGTGGCGGTAGGGGATGGAATATACAGCAGTAGATAAATCATTATGTCAATGGAAAGTCCCCATAAAGCATGAAAACCCAGTGCATGTGTGTGTGTGTGTGTGTGTGTGTGTGTGTGTGTGTGTGTGTGTGTGTGTGTGTGTGTGTGTGTGTGTGTGTGTGTGTGTGTGTGTGTGTTGTATCCAAGCTACTGTCACAGTCTGCCAATTTATGAACTCACTATGCTGTCATTTTCATCTAGGGGGGGCAAGAAAATATCAATGGCCATAAAAGACTTCTCAATCCATCCCAATATTGCCCAGAGAGAAAGATTAGAACTCTTATAAAATGAGTTTTATCCAAATTTGATATTACAAACAAGAAGACGATTAAGCAACGAATTTTGAAATTTGATGGGAAGATTATTGGCATGGACATTTCAAATCTGGCCTGAAAATGTTCTAACAGACAAATTCTGGCTGATAACACAGGATACTGATATAGCTGTAGGGCCAAGAAGACTGCCAAGGTCAACACAGGCAAGAGAACACTTTATGAAAAACATATCAAAAACGACAGCTGGACATCATAACACTAATTTCAATTTAAGGCCTGATGAAAACGAGAAACAAAACGAAAACATAACGAGGCGAGTTTTCTGCTTGACATAAATCCATGGGAATCATTTCTGTTTCCAAAACAAATAAGGGCTGTGCGGGTTTACATCAACTCAATAAGTGTCACGTAGGGTTTCTGCGCCGTTTGTTTACAAACTCTTAAACTTTTTGACTTGACAGGGATTTTTCTGACGCTACGTCAACAGAGGTGGAATGCGCGCGTGCCAATAGATGTTAATAAGATAAGACAGACGCGCTGTTCAGAAGTGAGTCGCGCGGCTTCTAGTCGGAGGACGCTCACTGAAAACTTGCTTATGTGATGCCAGTTGTTTTATCCCACTAAAGAAGAGGAATATTTGTTAAAAGCAGCGAGGATTTATTTGTCCTCGTGCCTCCACTTTTTGCGCACCACATGGTCTAAACTTAGTTTTAATCGTGTCTCAGCGGTGCATTTAAAAAGTTTTCATGCTTTTCTCGATCATTGTTGGATATGATGCCAGTTCAAAGATTCGCCGACAAACCAAGGACACATCGTTGGAACAGTTTCAGGTAGATTTGACCCGTTTGTGGATCTAAATCCCTGGATGATGCTCTCAATGCAAAAACACGTCCTCTTGTTCATTTTTGTCCTCAATACGACTCCCATACCTCTGCAACTAAGGTAAGCTGAGGTGGCTTTATTCCTGCCTGCTAATAGGCTATTCTTGTTCTGTTTGTCTCATTGAGCTGCATGATTACGTTTTATGAAGACGAATGCAACAAGCAGCTTTTGTTCAAACTAAAACGTCCGTTTTGAATCAATTTGATCAAGTTATTTACACCAATAAACGTAAGAATGTATGACTGTGCATTCAGGTTCAACAGGCCTTTTTAAATAACAAGAGGCAATGAAGGATGTGGGAAAAATGGTTTATTAATGGGGAAAAAACTGTGTGGGTCATGACAGAAAGGATGAAAGGAGGGAGGAGAGTGTGTCAAGTGAAAGAGAAATAATGCTCTTGAGTGAATAAGAATCACATTGCAGTTTTTTTGTATAAAAAACAGAAAAATAAAAACATTCAAGAATTTCTCTTAATTTCTTTGTTGGAGAAGACACTCAAATACTATCAGTAGAAATTGGAAATATTTTGTCTGGATGTGTGTGAGTGTGTCTGTGCGGAAATTGATATATGTACATGTGCTCTAGCTATTCCCATTTCTTTTGCACCACAGGGTGGATGGCAACCCTTTAGTCATGGATCCCAATAGTATCTGCCGTAAGACTAGAACTTTGGGAAGCAGACATGCCGACCTGTGCCAGTCTCAGCCTGAGATCATTCAAGAAGTGGCAAAAGGTGCCCAGCTGGGCATACGAGAATGCCAACATCAGTTCCACAACCGTCGCTGGAACTGCACCAGCCAGAGCAGAAACCTGGCCAAGATCCTGCAACAAGGTGAGGAACACAGGTGGAGCGAGTGTAAGGCTGGGGTTATGGCCTTCCCTTGGCCACGGGTCAAAAATGAACAGGGGCTTTGGCCAAATTCACCAGCACATTTAAACTAATATGGTAATAAAGTTAAACTTTTATGCACACTATCCGATTATCCATTCAGAATTAGAAGAAAACGTACGTTTTGCTGCATTAGGTATGGATAAGGCAGGCTATTTATTCGAACTGGCTGCCACGCCAAATCACGCATATGCTTGCCTGTTCAAATTTTAACATAATTTTAACAAATGTGAACATAACCACTTTAATAACAAGAGCGTTTATGCTGGAATGTGTAGGTTGTTGATAGGCGACACGTAACTATTTCATGACATTCTATTTAAATGTTTTTAAAGAGGGATCACATTCCTTAGAATTGGTTCACCATGCACCTATGGTGAGGAACAAAATAAAAAAAGCTTCTCATGATATATATGTATACATTTGGAAACTCAAGAAACTCAAAAAGAAGATAAAATGGATGCAGTCAGCCCAACTGATTAGCAATAACCTTGTTCAACAAAACTAGTGTTGCAGATCGTGCTCCAATTGGCTTCTATTTGTAATTATCATTTGCATAATAGGAGTTCCTTTTTTTTTCCTTCCTATGTTTAATTCCTATGGGTCATAATTCCCCAGAACATCATTTCGATCCCCCATTGGGTTGAAAATGTAGTTTTGAGCAAAAAGCACACAAATTTCCCATTAATCAAATACGTATTTCCCAGAAAGACAGTTGTTGTTGTTTTTTGGCTGGGACTTTTTGACATGTCAAACGATGCTTGTGCAGACTTAGTTGATTGCTTAGTCATTGCTGAGTTCGATTTGGCATGTTTGTACATTTGAAAGGAATTTTCTGGCAATCATGGCTCTAAGAGTAGAGGAATGCTTCATTAACACATGTAGTTAGCCACATGGCCGTTAGAGGGCATGATTGTACTATGTCAATTTGAACATGAAAATGGTTAGGCCTACATGACACATAACATAATTGAAGAAAAAAGCAGCAGAGCTAAAGCTTTTATTAGTAGCTTGGACCTTGCAGTGCATATGTTTAAATGAGAGTGAGATGAGGATTACTCTTTTTTTTAATCCAAACATGACATGCCGATTGCCAAAGCTCAGCAATTTATAAGTTTGACTTGTTTACATGTAAATTTGATACCAAGAGTGAGTGTGTCTTGGAGGAATCCTTTACACTGAGGGGAAAAATTCTCTTTTGGCAGTTCGTGGTGTATTGAGGCAGGTCTAGACAACGGAGATGTGTGAGGAATGTGAATCTGCTAAATGAGTTATTGTTAATGTGGCAATTCCTTAGATTTTTACATGATCTTCTTAGAAGTGGGATGGGCTGTTACTCTGAAACAAGAGGTTAGATAGAGATCATAATCAAACGCATAGCATGATCCACACGACACAATGCACTTTTTCAGATGTAAGGTTTTGTATTTGGACAAACTGTAGATTTTTCCTCATTGAGTTAAGGTTCTATGAACTGTTCTCTAGATATCCGGGAAACTGCATTTTTGTATGCCATCACAGCTGCTGGGGTGATGCATGCAGTAACACAAGCCTGCAGCCAGGGGGCGCTGCCACAGTGCGGCTGTGTGACCCTTCAGAGTTCCTCTCAAACTCACCAGGACTTCCAGCCAGAGGAGGTACCTATCCAGGCTTCACCTGTCCAAAATGGGCGCTGGGAATGGGGGGGCTGTGGAGATGATGTGGACTTTGGCAATGAGAAGTCTCGTCAGTTCATGGACACCAGGCAGAGAAAAGGCAAAAGTGACATCAGGACCCTTATTGACCTGCACAACAATGAGGCAGGAAGACTGGTACGTTTATATTTCTGGGTTTGGAATAGCATGGTACATAGGAGATCGTAGTAAATATATTTTTTGCATTCCCCTTGCTTTAGAAAAAGAAAAAAATACACTATTGGGTTTCCATAACTTTCTAAGAGTTTAAAAAACTACAGGGAGATGTATGGACTGCACTGCAGCAGTCAGAAGAGAGAAATTTGTCAAATCTACATTCCCTCAACAACTGAAGTGTTTCCTCTTTTTTAATTTTTTATTATTTATTTAATTGCACCATAAATTGAAAATTCTTTTTTATGCAATATTGCAATATTTATAATAAATGATTTATCCTTGCACATCATTATTTTATTTTATTTATATACTTTAATCAAAGTAAACCTTTCTTCTCTTCTCTGATGATGTTTACAGGCGCGAGAACGGGACGACCTGTCACTTTTTAAGATATGCATCATATATACAATCACCTAAAGGATTATTAGGAACACCTGTTCAATTTCTCATTAATGCAATTATCTAATCAACCAATCACATGGCAGTTGCTTCAATGCATTTAGGGGTGTGGTCCTGGTCAAGACAATCTCCTGAACTCCAAACTGAATGTCAGAATGGGAAAGAAAGGTGATTTAAGCAATTTTGAGCGTGGCATGGTTGTTGGTGCCAGACGGGCCGGTCTGAGTATTTCACAATCTGCTCAGTTACTGGGATTTTCACGCACAACCATTTCTAGGGTTTACAAAGAATGGTGTGAAAAGGGAAAAACATCCAGTATGCGGCAGTCCTGTGGGCGAAAATGCCTTGTTGATGCTAGAGGTCCGAGGAGAATGGGCCGACTGATTCAAGCTGATGGAAGAGCAACTTTGACTGAAATAACCACTCGTTACAACCGAGGTGTGGAGAAAAGCATTTGTGAAGCCACAACACGCACAACCTTGAGGCGGATGGGCTACAACAGCAGAAGACCCCACCGGGTACCACTCATCTCCACTACAAATAGGAAAAAGAGGCTACAATTTGCAAGAGCTCACCAAAATTGGACAGTTGAAGACAGGATTTGGCGTAAACAGAATGAGAACATGGATCCATCATGCCTTGTTACCACTGTGCAGGCTGGTGGTGGTGTAATGGTGTGGGGGATGTTTTCTTGGCACACTTTAGGCCCCTTAGTGTCAATTGGGCATCGTTTAAATGCCACGGCCTACCTGAGCATTGTTTCTGCTGTTATCCTCTGATGGCTACTTCCAGGAGGATAATGCAGCATGTCACAAAGCTCGAATCATTTCAAATTGGTTTCTTGAACATGACAATGAGTTCACTGTACTAAAATGGCCCCCACAGTCACCAGATCTCAACCCAATAGAGCATCTTTGGGATGTGGTGGAACGGGAGCTTCGTGCCCTGGATGTGCATCCCACAAATCTCCTTCAACTGCAAGATGCTATCCTATCAATATGGGCCAACATTTCTAAAGAATGCTTTCAGCACCTTGTTGAATCAATGCCACGTAGAATTAAGGCAGTTCTGAAGGCGAAAGGGGGTCAAACACAGTATTAGTATGGTGTTCTTAATAATCCTTTAGGTGAGTGTATAAAACATCATATGTTTTGTACAACAACAAAAAACACCAGAAAAATTTATAAAACCCAACATTTCTGCAGCCGGTAATGTTCCTCACATCAACACTGTCAAGCAAAAGTACTTTTTAAACATTAAAATGATTTCTTTTACTGTAATATTTTTATATGGGGAGTGTTGTTTGCGTTTAGATAAACTGAAGGAACCAGGTTTAAAGCAGAAACCAAGATATTTGATTAGACCAATACAAAAAATACATGTTTAACTTTTTCTTGAACTAAATTAAATCAGGATTAAACTAAATTCAGCTGAACAATGACACTTTTGTTTTTGTTGAGCTGCTTTACAGTTGAAATTGAATTTGTTTAATAATTGAGGAATTTTGCAAAATGTATTTTTTTCTGTTTTTTACTGTGAAGCTGCTTTTGAAACAATCTGTATTGTATAAAGCGCTATACTTGACCATTAACTAAACATGTCTAATCATACTCTGGCATGAAACAGAAGTTGCCATAGTCTTTTCTGATCTATTATGATATATATCGGCTGCTTGAACAAGAAAAAAATGTAGCCCGGGACTTGATTTTGTCTATCGGGAGTTGATTGGATGGTTGTGAAATGCAATTGCTGTGATGTCATGTGAGTGACAGGTAGCCCCGCCCTCACGCCAGTAAACACCTCATCAGTGAAGAGAAGAGATGTCACTGCAAGAGGGAGGGGAAGTTATTTTGATTAAAGATTACAAGGGCACATGGATAAAAAAAAGATGTCCACGGATAAATCATTTATTATAAATGCTGCAATTTTCCATACAAAACAAACAATTGTCAGTTTTGATTTTATGGTGACTTTAACTTAAGAGACTGCATGAAATGCTGGACAGATGCACGCATGAAGAAAGAAATCACTTTATCACTTTTCTGTCTTGTCATGTGTGTGCACAGGCCATACAGATACAGATGCGAACAGAGTGTAAATGTCATGGCCTTTCTGGTTCCTGCACTCTTCGCAGCTGCTGGAGGAAGATGCCTCTCTTCCGTCAGGTCGGCGACTATCTCATGCAGAGCTTCCATACGGCCGTCCGCGTGATGGGTGGGAATGACGGGAAATCGCTTGTCCCCATCGATCCGGATAACCCTCCCCTAGATGCAACCGTCCTCATTTATTCAGCTGAGTCACCTGATTTCTGTCAGGCCAATCAAAGGACCGGTACAGAAGGCACACAGGGCCGTGTGTGTAACAGCACAGAGACAGGCCCGGGAGGCTGTGACAGCCTGTGCTGTGGTAATGGATTTGCAGATTACACACTGGAACACGAGGAAAACTGTCTGTGTCGGTTTCACTGGTGCTGTGAGGTTCAGTGCCAGAGATGTTCTGTGAGACAGGACGTCAGCCTCTGCTTGTGAAGTCCACTCGAGGAGATTGCATCTGTGATAGTCCTCTTTGAGCTAGACGGGCACATTTGTTTTCTCTCCTATGCAGAGGAGCATCCTCTGTGCAGAAGGAAGCAGTGACGTGTGAAAACAAGTCCGCTGGTTATTGCAAACAAGACTGAGCATTATCTAAAAGTCAGGTGGGAGTCTGGGATTGTATGTCTGCTTTCGAAAACAAGCACATGTCATGCTGCCACCTGCTGGTCCTTTATTAAGAGAAATAAGTGTATACAGAAATAATTGATTTTCTCCAGTGTTTTCAGAACAATACCTGGGAATAGACTGAGCTTGAAATTTGAGACAAAAACATCCTCTTATAAACTTTAGCCACATCAAATATCTGTGGCTTGTGGTCATTTTCTTGGTATTTGAAAATGAACCAATTTCAGCACTGTCCAAGGTGCTGAATCCCTGACTGATTTGTTGTCTGGCAAACCTAAAGATACAGTCAGTACCCAACTGATTTAGAACATTTATTGGTTTAATTATGAATCATTTGTCTATAATTTGACATTTTCCAGCAATTTCTCTTTTTCCTGTCCATGCTTTTAATGAGCATTTGTTTGTTGCAAGACACTGAAAGGTCACCTCAAAAATGTGCTCCATGCGGTAACATCTAAATTAATAATTCATTTTACCCATCAAAATGTTATTTAACATTAGTGAATCAACCTAAATATATTAGGTTACACCAACAAAACTAAATTTAAGGTTATGATCAATGGAATATCGTTCCTTGTTATAATCACTCTGACATGTTTGTAGAGCCGTCTATAAGGATGCCAGTAGACGTGGATGTATGAACACTTTTCCAACTTTATTTACGCCTCATATTCTCCGGTCTTATACATGCGACTCACACACGTACAATGTGTGTGTGCGGGTGTCGCCTTCTGACGTCTTCACAGAATCAATAAAATGCTTATACATTACAATCAGGTAGCTTTGTAACGTTTTCAGGTTTACCATATTTTACAGCGCAACTCTAAACATAATACACAACGCTAATGTTTTAAGACGCTGTTTTATGTTTGTCTAAAAATGAATGTCCACAAGGTGGAGCATAAGCATATGAGCATAAGAATCAGTGCTGCTCAAATGTCTGAGGCTACTGTCTGTAAGTAATGCACCATGTACCACTAGGGGTTTAAATGACCCTTTATTTGTGTTATGGTATCTATTTAAAAAGTATGAATGATCTAAATCATTGAAATTGTTTATTTTGAAGTGACAGTGTCCAATACAATTGCAAATACACAATTAAGAAAAACTTGCTATCATCTGTTTTCCCCTATTTTCTTGTTTTATCTGTCTCTTTGCTTGACCGTTCTACCAGCTGTGAGACATATATTGGGAATTGGTTGTGTGTCTGTGTCTGTCAGAGAGATGTACCCTGCAAGCTGACAGGTTGAACACATGCATATAATTATGAGGTACACTTTTTTTCTATTGCTGGTAAAAATCCAGGAATACTCTCTGGACCCCTTGTATAAAAATAGAAATCTGAAAGAGACTGTCTAACCCACATACAGACTCATATAAGATGTGAGCAGATGTATTTCAAGCTTCTCTGGTTGGTGAAAGCAGACATCAGTCCTTTCACTTCGGATCAGGATTGGCAGATGGGGAGGCTTATCCCGGTTTACAGGTCTGTACCTTTAGTTTTTTTTGCCCGGCTACACATTACAAGTCCTGCCCATTGCTCCCGCTGTCTGAGGCTGCGCGCGCAGTGGGATGCAGAAGGAGTGGCGGAGCGCGCGCGTGTGACTGAAGCTAGCATCGATTATTACATAGGTACTGTAACCTGATCAACTCAACAGCTGTTTTCCCCACTGTATACCCAGTGGTCACGCGAAACGTAAATGGACGTGAACCTGTGACTCTGAATTCGCACCTCCCCGAGGCACTCAACGGGACGAAAGGCGAGACAGCGCATTCCGAAGGGCCGGTGGGTGTTGGTCGACAGTTGAAAAGATGGGCACGGTGCTCTCTATTTCTCCCACATCCAGAAAAGGAGGGATTCTGGATGAGAAGACGGATGGAGCTAGCGGTAAGACGGAGAAGAGCCTCAAGCGCCATTCGATGCTGATATCGGCTCTGACGTGGAAGCGGTTAGTCGCTGCCTCGGCCAAGAAGAAGAGTGCCAAGAAAGTGAACCCGAACCCACCCGTTTCTCAAATCAGTAACCCCGTAGACCAGCTAAACACCGAAAATCTTAAGAAATCTCAATCAGGCTCCGAGCGCAAGACGAAATCTGGGCCACTTGCAGTGCCAGTCCCTACTGTACCGGATAAAAGCCTTCGATCCAATCAAACCCAGAATGCATCCCAGAATGGAAAGCAGCTCCTTTCGGTCCAACGGCAACCGAGCAGTCGCTCCATCATCTCCCCTAGACGAGTCATCGTGCAAGCCTCCACAGGAGAGCTCCTTCGCTGCCTGAGCGAGTTCATGTGCAGGAGGTGCTACAAACTCAAAGAGCTGAGCCAAAACGAGATCATCCTGTGGTTCCGAAACGTCGACCGATCACTGCTCATCCAAGGTTGGCAAGACCAGGGTTTCATCACTCCTGCCAACTTGGTGTTCGTTTACCTGCTCTGCCGGGAGGCGGTTACCGAGGATATTTCCAGCGAGTATGAGCTGCAGGCCACCTTTCTCACCTGCCTGTACCTGGCTTATTCTTACATGGGCAACGAGATCTCGTACCCGCTCAAGCCCTTCCTGGTGGAGACCAACAAGGAGGTGTTCTGGGAGCGCTCCCTGCGGATCATTGATAAAATGAGTGCCAAAATGCTGCAGATCAACTCCGACCCGCATTTCTTCACCGAGGTCTTCCAAGACCTCAAGAACGAGGGTGGCTCGAGCGATACGAACGGAAGATGGAATAATAATCTGGACCGCTAAATTAGGCTTGTGTTAAAAGGAGAGAGAAGCTCTCTGATACCTCTCCACACCCTTCCTTCAAGGGTGAAATGAATGTAAGGCCCGACTGCTGAAGGCGCAAAGAGTGTTTCACTCTATTGCTGGTTTGTGGAAACGGACAGGGGGATTTCGCCTCACCTCCATGAGAGGGGGTTTACGTTATCACATGTGTAAAATAGGCTACAACCTTCATGACCCAGTGAATGTCACGAGCGCGATCTGGGGTTTCTTCATAGTTTACTTAATGCATGCTTAAAGAATTCTACTCGTATCATCATTGTGGTTTTTGAAGAAAAATAATAATAACGAGCTGTTGGTGCCGAGCTAAAAACGAGAGATGTAAATTATTAGCTTGTGCGTCAATGCTGGGGTCTTATTTTTCTATTAGTTTCAGAAACGATGTTGTCACCGACGCTGAGCTGTCCGGGGTGCTGGCCTGCAACAGACACTCTCCTCCTGTCTCCTGTGGCGCCTGATGCTGTCTGAACGTTGAATGTACTGTTTTACAACAAAACGATTCTCTACAGTCATATGTGCCAATTGTCATAGTATAAAACTTAATGTTTTATATTGTATATTTGAAAATATATGAATACAAATACCCCCAGACTCTCTGCCGCTTCTTTATTGTTTTGATGGTGAAAAGGGGACAGTCACATTGGGTCGTGATTAAAGTGTCCTTTTTGATGCGTTTTTAATATGGGCATAAATGATCAAGGTTTTGCTGACTTTGACAGGCGCTGGCGTAATATCGCATGCAGATATAGACCACAGGCTAGTTTGATTTAATTGAAAATGTTTTGCATTTCCTTTTTTAACCTTTTAACAAAACTCGAGTTTGATTTATTTGAAAATGCTTTGCATTTCCTTTTTTAACCTTTTAACAAAACTCGACCATTGGTAAAAGTTGAATTTCAATCATGCACGAGAATGAGCAACAGTGTAGGGTTTACGTCATTCCTGTGCAGGCAAATGACTGCAGCTTGAGCAAGATAATCAGTCGGATAAGGAGCGCGTGCTGTAACAACATAATTCAATGCACTCCCTGAATTCAGGCTTTTCAATATTTGTATAGGTGCTAAATCGTTTTATTTGAGTCTGGACAACAAACTCTTACATTTAATCAATTGTTCGTGACTAAGTTCTGTGTATAAATATGTATCGGCCCTTTTTGTATTTAAGAGGGGTCGCTAGCCGTGGTGCTGAAACTCGCCTTCAGTTTCCGCGTTAGTTAGGTTAATAGACCTATATAGATGTAAACTATGTACTTCCATATCTATAAAATATGGGGGACCTTGAACTCGGTCGATTATCTTACAAACGACTCTCACAAATCACGTTTCAGAGGTTACAGTAAATTGAAAATCAATATTCTACCAGTTTACTTGGTCTTACAGTACAAACATTTGGCTGTCACCTGAAAACATCAAACGTCATATATGATTTGATTACCTCGGTAATAAAATGTTTAGTTTAAAATGCATTCGTATGCTCGCGCGCTGTGTGTGTGTGTGTGTGTGTGTGTCCCCATGAGGAAAACAGCTTATAAATCATACTAACTTAAGTTTTTTGAAAATCTAAAAAGTTTTCTGTGATGGTTTAGGGGTATTGTGTAAGGGGACAGAATATACAGTTTGTTGGCCTACAGTAGAAAAAGCATTATGTCAATGGAAAGTCCACACAAAACAGAAAACACAACGTGTGTGTGTGTGTGTGTGTGTGTGTGTGTGTGTGTGTGTGTGTGACACGGCTGGACACAGTCCACTGACATTGCTCACTTTCTCCTGTACAGGTAGTCCTCAAGAGAAACGTCTTCATTGTGAAAATGGCCTCAGGGGTGCATGAGTCATTGAGAGAGTAAGAAGCAGCTGGTTTGAAACGAGAGAACCCCCAGAATTTGTGAATAAAGCACGTGGTTCGGGAGTTCGAACATTTGATTGGCTGGATTTTGGTGCAGTCTGATAGAAGTGTCATTGTGACGGAAGGCTGCAGAACCGGCCGCGTGTCGGACATAGGAATTCTGCGGGCGCATTCCGCTCTCTATGGCAACGACTATATTAGTAAAGGGGTTTGATCCAGATCGAGCGTGGGATGAGAAAAGCTATATCGCGTACAATATCTGTCTCTATACAGTATGAAACCGGACGCCCAAAGTTAAATGATTAGATACAATATATGTCCGTAAACGTATAGCACCTTATTACTGATGTGCACGGATTTGCACAGATGCCCCAATATTCAATCAATGTTCTAGACTAGAGAGTGAATTAGGAGAGGTTGCAAAGTCAGATATGAATGCTAATGAGCTGAGCCGTATAGCCCTTAAAGCGATATGCAATGAAGAAATGCACCAGCAAGCATGAATTAGGCATTGTTCTTGAATTAACCTTCAATGTGAAGATCATTCTTGTTAAATACGCCGTTTATGTAAGTGTATATACTCTTGTCTGCTGGATACGGATGCAGCCGTAGGAATGCGGTTGCCGTGGAAACGCCAGCAGCTGGAAGCGAGATCCAAGGACCACAGAAAGGATGAAGCAGACAATCAATAATTTACAATATTTCTTTCGGCTTTCTATTTTACTGAAGATGACTGTCAAACCTTTGGTGGGAATGTGGGATTAGTCCCTGGCGAATGCCAAAGGCTATTCTCTCAGAAATTGAGTTCTTTTTTGGTCGTTTTTGAATCGTCTTAAAGTGAATCGACAGAAGCCTAATTTACCTGCTGCTAAATTATGAGATCATTTTAAAAATATCTATATGGAAATTTTATCATGATATCGATATCGAAAATGGGGCCAGTGAAAATGCTAAGTGGCTAGTAACATTGGAAAACCACAAGCCACAGTGGCTGGTGAGCAAAAAAGTTCATGTCAAGCCCTGCTTTCAACCATTCATGATTCCACTGAAACACAAAATAAATGGATGCAGTTCAGACTACTTACCTGTAGGTTATTATATGATATGATACAGTTTTTGTCAGAGAGATTTTATTAAACTAAAGGTTAAAAAAGCGTATTAATTTTGGATTAATGTTCTTCACCTCAATATTCAGCAAATAAAGCACATTAAATGGTACATTGGTATATTAGTCAAAGGATGGAATGATAACTTCTGAAGCATAACAACTCAATAAAAATAGAAGCAACTTCAAACTTAATTTTCCTGGACTTAGGATGTTGTTTTTATTTTGTAAAGAGGTCAGGAAGGTCTTTCTCTTTTTATCAAGACACAAGTAAACATTGAAAAATTTAGATATAAACACATTGGCAAAATGTATTCATATAACACAGTTGATCTAAGTATCATATATACATATCATATACCATCCCTCTTAACCAATATCAGTTTATTTAATAGGTAATCAACACTAGCGATAGTCTGTTTAAATTTGTACTTTATCCACGAGGGGGCTTATGTCATTCTGTACTACAGGCTATATTGGTATGGGCTAATCTTGGTTATGAGATTATTTTATTCTCCCTGTGCATGCAGTTATAGCCCCTCTGAGACACTCAGCTGAATTCGGAAGACATAATCCACAGCTAGTATGAAAATAACAAAGGGGCCAAGACATAAAACAGTCACAAAAACCACAAAAAAAAAAACCACAAAAAAAAAAAAAAACAGAACTAAACTAAACTAAACTAAAATGATATGACATTATATGATATTATTAGATACAAATGCCATCAAATTGTGAAATAACAAAATTGGTTACACTTTATTTTGATGCTCCCTTTAACAATGTTGCACCTACATGTCTACTAACTCTCATTAGAGTATTAGTAGACTAGAGTATTAGTTATGGTTAGAATAAGTTGACTTGTGGTTGCAAAGTTATAGTCAACAGCATGTTCAAAAGGGACCATCAAAATAAAGTGTTACAACAAAATGTGTTCAAGCAGTCAGACAGCGCAATAGTCTTGCATTTAAACATTTAGTATAACTATGTTTAAATGTAAGAGCTACTGTTCATATGCTTGGAGTTGGTAAGAGATTTGGCAACACTTTATTTCAATAGTCCACTTTAGACATTCTACTAACAATAAGTAACTTTGCAACTACATGTCAACTTAGAGTATTAGTAGACTGTCTGCAACACGGTCCCCAACAGACATTCTACTGACTATAAGTATAACTTTGCAAGTTCATATCAACTTATTCTACTAACCATGACCATAACCTAACATAACAATCTACTAATAATGACCTTAGTTGACATGTAGTAGCAAATTAATAAAAGTTAGTTGACATGTAGCTGCAAAGTTATTTATAGTTAGTAGAATGTCTAAGTGGACTATCGAAATAAAGTGTAACCAGAGATTTGTTTATGCTTTTGAAAGAAATATCTTATGCTCACCCAGACTCCATTAATGCAGTGTAAAAATGTTAAAATGTCAAAATGCAGTAACCGGCAATATTGTGAAATATCATTACAATTTACAATTTATTATTGATAGCAAATCGAAATTTCCTGTTACATTTGAACAATTTATTGTGCCCTTGCTAAATAAAAATATTAATTTATTTGTGTGTGTGTTTATTTAAATAAACCCTTAGTCCCTTGTATTTAAATAGACACTTGTACAGTATATTTTTGAGTATTTAGTTGAGTACTGAGTTCAGTTGTGCTGAGATCTATCCATCTTTTTGACAGTGGTTTATTTGCAAGCTTTTATTACTGTAACAACCTATTGTTATGATACAATGGTTCATGCTAAATAAGCATTGATGCAATGATGTATTTTCTTTGCAACAGTAATTTTCGTCCCTTGACACAACATTCATGAAACTTTGCCAAGGACTTCCAACGAAAACAACTCGCCCACACAATGGTTACATAATGTGAACGAGGGGGAGTCATCAATGAAGCTTTTGATGATTTCATATAAACATGAATGATGATTAAGATTGGATCAGAAGACTGACTTGAATCAATAGTTATCATTACAGATCAGCTACTTTGGAAACTTTTTGGTTGGTGTACTATAGTGCCATTGATCATGTCAGTGATACCTAAGCATGCTCTCATCTTACATTGCACATTTTTCACTTCAAATCTGCAATGACAGTTTGTTGTCTCTAACCTGGCTGATACTCCTTATCACATTCAAAGCATGCCGTGGTCTTGCCCCCAACTATATTTCTGATCTCATCCATACCTACTCCCCAGTTCCCACACTTATCTTTTTTAACGTATCCCTTATTTTCTGAAAGACGCTATATAAAATAAACGTATTATTATTATTATTATTACCTGTTCTCTTAATTTTTGCACCAAATTCTGTTATGTTTCCCCTCATGACAAATGACACCATCCGTGCATTTTGTTCTTCCTTGTGGCCTTTCAGATCCCAGGAGAACATTCCTGATGAGACTCAATGGGGATTAAGCTTGTTCCACACACCTGGCACAATTATGAATAAAGTCTCAGAGCTGAGAGATATATTTATATAAGCCCTGAATATAAGCTCATTCAGCACCTTCAGGATTCAGCTTGTATGTACAGGGCAAGTCAGGGCAGGGCAGGGCAGCGTGTTACATGTGTGCATTTTGTGTGAGCTTATCAAGGTTCATAAGGTTCAGGTTGAGGTACATTTCTTTTTGCT